TGGCTGCCCTGACGTTGAGGTGGGCGACTTGGTTGACGTTGTCGCTGATCATCTGCTGCAGCTGACCTCTGCGAGCGGTCTTCTCGTCGATGCTACACACACGAACAAACGGTCAGACACGCTGCACGAGGTCGTGGTGCGGTGCTGGCTGTGGTGATGGGAGCCGTGGCTCGGCCTGCATACAGTGCCTGCAGCTTGTCCATGTTTTCCTTGGCGAGCTCCATGGCCTTGGTGTTGTCGGCGATGTTACTCTCGCAGTAGCCATTCTTCTCTGCCGCCTCGTTCGCTTGCTGCACACACAGAGAAGGCACAGCTTCCTCGTCTGTCTACGCAGGAGTCGGTACAGCACCTGCAGCATCTTCTGGATTAGGTCCTGGATGAGCTTCTTGACCTTGGCGAAGGGATCGCCGTCAATCCTAAACACGCAAACAGGGCAATGCATCCTTTAGTGTGTATCGTGTTCTCCCATCCATCCCTCCCTGCCTCCCTCCCTCCCTCCCTCCCTCAATTCTCCTTTACTTGATGGCCAAGGAGTAGAGTGCGGTGCTGTTGAGCCGCTGCCCGGCGTGCATCAGCATCGACACAGCCTGCAGCAAAGCGACAGACATGCAGCATATATCCACACAGGCGTGCAGTGCACCCCTTTCTCACCCTCTGTCTGTCATTTCCCGTCGACGGGCCTCTAGTTCTCAGCAGCCGCTGGATGAAGGAGACCATCCTGCCGCCTGCAGCACAGCATACAGACAGAGGGAGGGAAGCGACACAAGGCTTTCGCATCTCGAGTTGCCCACCCTACCCTTGGTGTGGTTGTGTCTCTGTATGAGTGTCTCGGTGTCAGTGATGGCCTCAACGCCGGTCGGCTGCTGCAAAGATGCAGGCAAGTTGACGCGCTCCAGGTCCTATACACCGCACACATAACATAAAAGACATGAGGGTGAGGGGGACGAGGTGGCTCCGTTGTCGCCATTCAGCTCAGTCCCCTCACCTGCACGGTTCCCTGCAGGATCGCCAGAGCCTTGGCGATGGCCACCAACTCGTCAGCCCGTTACGTTGAAGGACAAGAACCAATACGTCGAGACAGACAGGCAAAAGCCGAGTCGCCGCACTCACCTCATCTGTGTGCGCTGCTCCCAGTCCTTGCCTTTGTCCTCACACTCGACCGTCAGGCTCCGCAGAGACTCGGTGTCTGAGCAACCCACGGGGAAGACCGACCCCCTATATGACATATGATGCATGCGCGGCCGGCTGCATTCCCACCTTCATCGTGTGCCCGTTGCTCAGTGGCCAGGTTGCCTTTGGCGGTCTGCAGGTCACTCTCGGCAGTCGACTTTTCCTAGAGAGCATTCCATCGACGAGGAAGGTGACTAGGGGGCGTCGTGCCTTATCTGCCTCTCCCGTCATTCGCTTACTTGTGTTTTGGTCTGTGTGAGGCCCTGTTTCTCTGTGATCGAGCTCGTTAGCTCCGACTCGGCGCTGGTGAAGGTCTGCAGTACACACACATGGAAAGTGGCAGCAGGCAGGAATGATGAGCCAAGGAAAGACATGCAGTCGGCTGGCTGCTCGCACAGCTATGTACCTGTTGATTTGTGATTTCCTCCTGCTCGAGTGCGTGTTTCCTCTCCTCAAATTTGTCCTGCAGACTTTTCTGAAGACAAGCATCCCCATTACGTTCACGGCTGCTTTCACCGATGTGCAAGTGCACCACGCGCGCATGGCCGTACCAGTGTGTCGAGCACGCTGTCCGATCGGAAGTCATAGTCGCCCTCACCCAGCCGACTCGAGTAGTCCGGCTCATACACCTACCGGCCGAAAACACGCAACCCGTTGCGTGTGTGTATCTGGAGTCCCTCCCTCTTGGTGGTACGACCTTTGCTGCTCGTGTGATGGTTTGCATGAGCGCTGCGGGCGGCTCGAAGGACTTAGACGTCTCAAGGCCGGCAAGGGCGCTCATTATCGAGTTGATGGCCGATGTCAGATCTGCAACGACACAATATATGACCGTGCAATACATGTATGGCTTCCTCTGACTTGTGCATACCGGCGTGAGCCTTGCCGTAGGTTTCATCCTCCTTGGTGCGATTCGCACGCAGATCGTCAAGCGTGGCGCTGTCCTGAAGAGAGAAATCGAACGGAGAGAAAGAAGGTGATGCGGTGCTGCAGAGAGCAAAGGACGCCTACCGATGCAATTTGCTGGTTAAGGGCAACGATTTCCTGACCGAGCCGCTTGACCTCCGCCGTCTTGACCTCAATAGTCGACTGGTAGTTGTCAGTTCTGCAACCAATCACATCTGCTGAAGCGCACAGTGAGTCCTCAGTCTTACTGCTGGTCGGCGATGGCAGCCGTGTAGTTTGCGGTCTGCTCTTTGCAGAAGCAGGCATACTCCTCATACACAGCGGCCTCGCTCTTGCCCTCTGCCTTGACCTGACAATCGCCGACGCTCTCATGCTGCCAATGGGTATCTTTGCTTATCTGGCAGCTGACCTGATCCTGCAGGCCCTGCAGCAGCTGGACGACCTTCTGCACAGGCGTCACCGACGCCGTGCTGGCCTGCGACAAACGGGAGGGAAGAAGGACAGGACAGAAGATCTCTCATTCGTTGCCCAGATCTTACATTGCAAGACGAGAGGACGAGTGCAGCGACGGCAATATTGACGGCCTGCATCGGACCCGACGGGGACTTTGTTTACAGCTGCGAGCTTAGCTCAGAAAAGGCGGTGCTGCAGGGGCTGTTTTCCTGCGTCACTCGATCCGCCTGATCTCGTCTTCTCCACTCTTCATCCCATACATCAGCAGCTCTAGCGGATCTGATCTATCCACCCATGGGTCAGTCGGCAACCAAGTCAGGTGTGGTCGTATGGGGCTCTCCCGAGTACGGCCAGCTGGGAATCGGCAACCCGAACCCCACGGAGGACAAAGCCAGCCCTCCGCGGCTCGTCGAGGCCCTCAGAAACATCGCCGTGCGCAGCGTGGCCTGCGGCGGACACCACTCGGCCGCCGTGGGCGAGAGCGGCGAAGTCTACGTATGGGGTGGCGGCAGGAGGGGGCAGCTCGGCACGGGAGATACGAAAGACGTCATCCTTCCCAAGGCCATCCGGTCTCTCCAGAGCAAGGCCATTCGGCAGGTGGCCTGTGGCGAGCATCACTCGGCTGCCGTCACGGAGAGCGGCGTGCTCTACACCTGGGGACTGCCACGCAACGGGCGGCTGGGCCACGGCAGAGAGGAGGGGGAGATGCTCCTGGTGCCCAAGGTTGTGGAGGCCCTTAGCGGCCAGCAAGTGGTGCAGGTGTCCTGTGGCGACTTCCACACGGCCTGCCTCGTCAATGCCACCGCCGCACAGCAGACCAGCGCAACAGCAGCAGCAGCCGGCGGCACCCCGCAGCCCACGTCAGTCTACACGTGGGGAATGGGCCTTTCTGGCCGCCTGGGGCACGGCGACGAAACCGACCGATATGTGCCGACGTCCGTGGAAGGCTTGGCGGTCGTGCAAGTGACGCAGGTGTGCTGTGGCGGCCACCACACCGCCGCTGTCACCGAGTCGGGGCAGATGTACACATGGGGCGGCGGCGCCTTCGGCAAGCTCGGGCACGGCTCACGGCTGGCGGTCATGACCCCGCGGGCTGTGGCCTTCTTCAGCGGCCCGGTGGGCGGCGGTCCCTCGTCGTCGATCCGCGGTCGTCGTGTGGTGCAGGCCTCCCTGGGGGCGCACCACAGTGCGGCCGTGACGAGCAAGGGGGAGGTGTTCACCTGGGGCCAGGCAGGGCGGCTCGGTCACGGTTGGGGGGCATCGGGGAGCACCAGTGGTGTGGGGACGGAGCAGGACGCCATGATGCCCAGGCAGGTGGCTGCGCTGGCGGGCATCTTTGTGGTCATGGTGTCGTGTGGCCACTCGCAGACGGCGGTCGTGACTGAGACGGGCGACGTGTGGGCGTGGGGCACCACACGGGTGCTGGGGCATGCCGATCTTAGCGTGGCGCCCAACTCGCCGTCCTGCGTCAAAGCCCTCACAGGTAGGAAGGTAGCACCGCACCAACCACACCTGACTGATGTCTTTGGTCTGTTGGGTTTATTGTTTGGTTGTATGCCACCCATATGTGTGTGTGGTGTGTTGGTTCAGGCAAGGCGATCATCCAGGTGTGTTGCGGCTCCTCGCACACCATAGCGCTCTCGGACTTCAAGCGCCTCGCATCCCGGCTCCCCCCAAACCTGCAGCCCCCCGCAGCACTCACAGCACCCACACACCAGCCATCGCCCCCAGCAGCCGGAGGAGGAATAACAGCCCCGGGCGCCACCCTGCGCCCTCCCCCACCCGCTCCAGGCTCTTCCCTCTCCCTCTCGATGCCAACACGCCCCTCCTTCACGACTGACCAGACCATCACGGAACCTTCGTCAATAGAGGTGGGGAGTGAGGGTGCCGCAGAGCCCGCGAGTGGCCCTGGGCTGCCTGGGTCGGTCGGCAAGACCCTGGAGATGGGTCTGGGGGGGCTGGAGGCGGGGAGGGAGTTACCAACCACTGCGGCGGCGGCAGCGCAGCCGCAGCAGCCTCCTTCTGGCCTTCGACAGCTGGCGTATCTGAGTGCGGAGCTCAAGGCATACCAGGACCAGACGATTCGGCTGGCCAAGGCGCTGCACGAGACCAACAGACGGGTAGGAGGGGATGGGGCGGAAAAGGCGGGCAGAAGCTAGATGCGTGTGTGTGTGTGTGTGTGTTTTCATCTTGTGTGGTTAGTTGGAGCAGTCCCAGGACGAGAACTCTCTTCTCAAGTCGGAGCTGCACGCACTGCGGCAGGTGGCTGAGGGGACGGATGGTCGACTCACACACGCAGCCAGCCAGCCGCATTAATTCCATGTGTGTGTCCTTCCTTCGTATGCATGGATGGACCCAGACCAACACCGAGACAGCCGAGCAGATCGACGGCCTGCGGCAAAACTTCGTACAAAGGTAGTTATTTTATGCCCGCAGACAGACACAGGATCCCTCCCTCTGATTAGTTTGTTCATTTCGTCATCTGTGCACACACAGGATCCGCGAGATCGAGAGGCGTCACAGTGAGAAGGAGGCCAGGTGGAAGGCCACCTTCCAGCGACTCCGCTCCCAACTCGACAACACCTTCCAGCCTGGGTTAACCGACGACACTCACACACTCCCGCTCCCGGCAGCACCGCTGGTCGACAGCCACACACACACTCATGGGGTTGAGGTGTCTGTGGCTGCTAGTGGGGGCGGGGCAAGTGGTTCTGGTGGTGGTGGTGTTGCTGCTGGAGGGGCGGAAGAGGCCCGCAGCTAGCCGTAGAGGAGACTTTGACGGATGCCGTGTCTGTGTCTGTGTTTGGGTATGCGATGCGGGTGTTGTGTGGGTGTGTACAAGAATGTGTAGACTGAGAGGAATGACAGAATGTCAGTGACTGACGAGAGAGAGAAAGAAAAGACATTACACCGATCGACCGACGGCATGGCATGCACCCATGAGTATGACAGAGTCCTTGCGATAGAGTATCCAAGCATCAGCCATAAAAGTGACAGGTCACGGAAATTGTGTGTCGCATCCATCCATCCCATCAGCATCAGCAGCATCCAGCTCAAGCTCAGCGGTCTGCCTGCCACAAGCGCTACGGACACATACATAGAGATTAAACTAAGACACCGACACCGACACACACCCCCATCCACAGGCAAGGCTTAAAACAACACAGAGACAGAGAGAAAGAAGAGAGAACACCCCGTCAGTCAGTCAGTGCACCATCCAGAGACTGGCCGCAGCGCTTGTCGCCCACACACACTTTCGGCGTCTCCTTGCCCCCCTGGCCTCAGCCACAAGTCGTGAGGGCTCTTTGCAGTCCCTCCCGACAAGCTGCTGAGGCTCGAGGACGAGAAGACAGCCGAGGAAAGAGCGACACAGGCGGCATTCTGACTACTACAATACAATAACAGTCCATACGATCGAGCTCATGCAGTCCTTCGTTCGTTCGTTCGTTCGTTCATTCGTTGATGTCTGCAGGTCTGCTCTCTCCGCCACTGGTCCCGACAGCGTGGAATGCTTGGCTGGGGGCACTGTGACTTCACACAGCGCGGCCAGGCATCCCATGCTGCAGGTGCAAGGAGCAAAAAGGACAAAAACCAGACATCACAACCATCCAGGCTCTCTACGCAAAGGTGAGTGAGGATGGATAATCGAATTGCTCATGTCTGTCTGTCTGTCAGTCTGTCTGTCTGTCCGCATCGTGTGTGTATATGATCAGGGAGGGAGGAGGGGAGAGATCAGCCAGCAGGGGCCAATCCGCACTCACCATTTGTCAAGTCACTCTCTCACTCTTCAGCGCAAACAACCACACCACACCACACCACACCACGCCACGCAACACACCGTTCATTCGCCACGTTGCGTCATCCATCTGCACACACAGACACACACCCTCTCTACCCCCCACCCCACCCACTTCTCCCATATCAAGAATGCATCCACCCATCATCAGCAGTGATCGAATTAGGCACCAACATGCACCCCACCCCCTCCCCTCTCTCCCGCCATATACACGCACACAATCACTCACAATAGGCGAGAAGAAAACACCGCACGCGACGCCCGTTATTGTTAAACAGTCAGCCCGTCAAGCCATTTGCAGTGGCCCGCCGTCTATTCTGTCTCATTCCATTCAGACTCCATCCGCCCCTCCCTCCTTTCTCTCTCTCCCACTCTCGCCTCTCCTCTCTCCTCTCCTCTCTCCTCTCCTCTCTCCTCTCTCCCTCCTTCGTTGCTCATGGTGTATGCGCGTGTGTATGCTATGCGTGTCTGTCTCATCGATCCATCCATATCACTCACTGGTAGTGCTCGTCGCCCCCTCCCTCGTTGTGCTCGTTGCTGTACCCCCCTCCCCGCCCCCCACGGCCCCTCCCGCGACCCCGCCCTCGCCCGCGGAACCCGCGACCACGACCGCGACCGCGGCCTCTGCACACACACACACACACACACACACACAGACATTCCCACAGACATCGGCAGTGGATGTGTGTGATGTTCGCTGCCTGCCTGTCTGTCTGTCTGTGTGCCTGTGTGATCATGACTGACTGACCTTCCGCGCGTCATGCCCCCGTTGGGTACGCCGTTTGGCATGTGTCCGCCCTCGTCGCCGCCGTTGAGGAGCTCCCCCTCGTCATGGTGCTCGCCAGCCGGTGGGGGGCCGCGGTCGCCACGAGGACCACCACGACCTCTCCCTCGGCCTCTGCCGCGGCCACGACCTGACCGCCAACCACCACACCACACACAGACACTCGTGTGTGCAATACAGACAGTCAGGTCTACACAACATACGTGGGGGGTTCGACGCCCTGGCGAAGTCCATGGGCGTGAGCTCCTCGTCGGTGTCCTTGGGCAGCTGGTAGCCCGGCTCGTCCTTGTCGAAGACGTCGTCGAGCGACAGGGCGATCTCCACATAGGTCACGTGCCGCGTGTGGTAGACCGTGTCAAGGCCCTCCTCCAGCGGCGCGTACTCCTCCGTGATGGGCGTCAGACCGCACTTGGTCAGCTGGTGCAAACCTGCAGCCGAACCAACACCACACACACACACGCGTGTGAGAGCCGTTCCCGCCTCTTGTGTCTGTTGCGTACCCTTGACGCGCGACTTGCAGACCTCGGCGAGCATAACGGCACGGTCGATGGCATTCCCTGAACGAGCATCCACACACACACACACACCCAACACCGCCATGACCTGAAGCGTATGCACATCTCTCTCCGCCGCGCTGCCTACCGGTGGCCTTGATGGTGATCTGCTTCTTGTCCTGCTCCTCAAACAGTTTGAACGCGTACCTGCACCCACACCACACACACAGACAGACAGACAGATCACACACACCTGTCCGTCGTGACTCGTGTGTGTCGTGAGGCAGTGCACGCGCGCACGATGCATAGTTCTGGAGCCTGCCCGCGTTGGCGATGCGGATCTCGTCCTCGGGAGTCTCCTCTCTCGGCTTGCTGATCTTGCGGTACTTCTCCATCACACCAAACGATGACAGATGGACAGATCAGCGACGCCGCCGACGAGAGGGCACAGCTGGCCACACAGTGAGAGCAAAACTGGGGGTGGTTGGAGGAAGTTGTTTTCTGACGATCCGCTGCGAGCTTAGCGAGCTATTTTGCTTTGTGGAGAAAGGAGGTGTGGCATGTGCTGAGAGGCCTGGTGGTGCGAGCGGAGGCTGTGTGGGTTCGGTGCTGGTGGAGACAGGCGTGGAGTGCATCCGTCGTCTTGTGGAGGTGTGAGCTGCTGGCTGGTGCATGAGCAAGGCGGAGGCGTCTGTGGAGCAGCCGGCAGCATTCATGGAGAAGTACAAGCGAGTCCAGAAGCCCAAGGTCCGTTCAGTCAGGCGGCAGAAGCTCAGACGGGAGCGAGGGAGGCGGGGAGGGAGGGAGACAAACGCATTACATTCACATCACGCACACGCAACACGGCGCGGCACCGCGTGGACGTGCCGGTGTGCCGTCGGATGGCTGGATGGATGGTCTGAACGGACTTCTGTCTGTGTGTCTGGGTGCATGTGTGTGTGTCGGTGTGCAGGAGCCTGTGGCCGAGGATGAAATCCGCATCACGTCGATGGGACGCGTGTAGGCAACTGACTGACACCCCCGACAGACACACGTCACGTCGGCACATGGACGGTCGCACCGCG